CCCCGGGCCCGCGATCCAGCATGTGACGCACAAAGAGAGCACTGATTGGCCTCTTGAAGGCGGCAGCAGCGTGCGCCGGACGCACCTGAAGGCCCGGATGAGGAAGTAAAGCGCAGCCAGGCTGCTGAGGCCGGTGAGCACGTAGAAAGAGCGAAGTAGCGGAGAACCTGGCGAGCTCAGTGGGTGCGTGCCATTGTGCGGTGAACTCGGCTGGCTCCCGTTCGTCACGACAGGTGGCGGAGAGAGCGTGTTCGCGATGAGAGTCGTGTCCGTGGCCCCCTGGGTTCCACACAGCAGTGCTAATAGCAGAGCCAGCAGCAGCAACGGGAGCGGTAACACCACGCGCGGCCCCATGGCCCGGCGGAAACAGTGGTGGCGCCCTTCTCGTGAGCGGCTGTCACTCATACTGGCGTGGGGGCGGTGCAGGCCAATGGCCCGCGAGAGGCGGGGCTCGACGCCCGGAAGCTCCCCGCCTTCAACCCCAGCCCCGCCCGGCCCCTACTACCTCGTTTCACCCTGGGCGTTACCCAGAGAGCCCTACGCAACAATTTCCCTCGGCCCAACAGACACACACACACTCACACTCACTCTCAATATTCTCCTCGTAGCGCCTCGCAGACGACTTTGGGGACCTGGGCATGGCCCTTCCTTCTGCTAAGCCCATTTTCCCAGGTACCAATGTCACACGACATTGCGCCCCGTCCTTCTAGAGCATCTGGGCACTTCCTGGCCAGGATCAGCAGCCCCCCTGCACCTAGCCTGCAGGCCCCAAAGGCAGGTCCCACCCTGTGGAGCTGGACACCCCAAGAATCTCAGCATCAGAAAAGCTGGCCCCAAAGGTGTTCTTGGAAAAGGAACTAGCTGGCCAGCAACAGACCTCAGGCAGGGGTGAGGCAAAAAGCCTGAAGGGGGGTATGCAAAACCCTCCCAAATCCCTCAGTTTCTCTTCTCAGGTTTAATTTCTGTAGAAGAGAGAAACCCAAGCCCATCATCAGAACCCTCTGACAGAGGTCAGCGGCGATGAAAGGCTGGGGACTGGATGGAAGGAGGCACAGGCCCACCTCAATCACACAATCACTAGGGATCACTGTGACTCCGGGGAAAAGAATTGAATGGCAGCAACAAGACATGACAGGAAGCTACAGGAGAGTGGCTCAGGAGGCTGGAGAAGATGGTCAGTGGATGCACAGAAACCCCAACAGGGTGTTTGGTGGTCTCGGATCCTGCTCAGGGGTCGTGCCTACTGATGAGGTGACTGCCCAAGCCACCCGCTCTCCAGGCGGAGCTCTGCCACATCCTCACAGGAAGCACCTAAACTCTCAAGTGTTGAGAGCAGTCTCCCCGAGAAGTCAGTCTCCTCATCTGGGAACAGGGCAACAATACCATCAAGTGGTACAGGCAGTGAGCACCAGCTGCCCTGTAGTGGGGCACTCGGGCAGAGACAAGGGCCCAGCAAGCACCTCAGGTGTGCTCTGAGGAACAGGTTCAAGGACAAGGCCCTCCTGCCTCAAGGTGGCATGCTGCAAAACACCGGGCTGTGCCAACTCCCTACTCCACTATGGATGCTGTGGGACTCTAGGGGTTGGGCTTTCCCAGGACAGGGCCCAACTAAGCCTAAAGACACATGCCTTTGGGGCCAGCTAGGGCTGCAGCTCCTGAAGAGGGGGCAAGACAGCTGGCCAACTCCAAGGAAACAGCACCTACTGTGCTGCTCCTCCCTGACATCGTTGAGACATTGAAAGTGCCAACTCCCCCAGCCTAGTGGGGACAGGAGGGACAGGGCCTAACCTGTGGCCAGTCTTATGACAAGGGCTCTGGGCCTGCTGCCCCCACCCTTCCCATCCAATCAGGCAAACAGAGCCCTGATATGGTGGCAAGGGGAAGAGCAGAACCAGAGGCTCACTCAAGGCCACCAAGTCCACGGAAGACTCAAGCACCCCAGAACTCCCAACACCAACCGTGCCCTGGGAGCCCGTCATCCCAGGCCTGTGGGACTCCCTGCAGGTCTTGCCCCCCAGCACCTTCCAGTCTCAGATGACGCAGTGGTGTAGCCCCTGTTCTCTGCACACCCAGGCATCACTCCACTTGGATAGTCCATCCCTCCTGTGCCCCCCTGCCCATACTCCTGGACCAAAGACAAACACATCAGAATGCACAGGTGGCCCTTTATTCCAGTCTGACCCTCCAAGTGCCATCCCACCTCGAGCTGCCAACACCCTGAGGCCTGTCCCAAGACTGTGGAGATAGAGCCCAGGCCTCCGATGAAACACCTGCAGAAAAACGAGGGGGTGAGGAGTCCCCTGCCCAAACCACACCCCCAGCAAGGCACTCGCCGGCAGCTGAGTTGGACCAGGCCTGGGCCCTGCACTCACGAGGATAGGCCAGCTGCATGCAGCTGTATCTCTGGTTCTTGCTCCCCTGGGAAACCACTCTGGGCCCATCCCTCCTGGGACTCAAGGCTGTGGCCACTTTCATCTCCTCTTCTGACTTCTGGCTTATGCCCCTTCAACCTGTCAAAGCAAACAAGTGTTACTCCTGTGTCCAGGCCAGGGCTCACAGCTGCCCTCCCTACCTCCCAGAACCTTCCACACCACCTATGAGGGTCTCAAAGCTAGCCACCAGGCCCATCGTATCACAGGTACACCCTCATAGGTAAGCGTGCCCAGAGGGCTTACACCTCTGATGCGGCCAATGCCACGTCCACCCTTAAACAGAGCCAACTGCCCACGTGGGAAGGAGTGGCTAGAGATCACTGTGGCTCCGGGGGAAAGAATTGAATGGCAGCAACAAGACATGACAGGAAGCTACAGGAGAGTGGCTCAGGAGGCTGGAGAAGATGGTCAGTGGATGCACAGAAACCCCAACAGGGCGTTCGGTGGTCTCCGATCCTGCTCAGGGGTCGTGCCTACTGATGAGGTGACTGCCCAGGCCACCTGCCTGGCGCGGGCAGGAGGGCAGGCAGTTGGGGCCAGGCAATTTTAGTTCCAGCTCCACTTAAAAATCAAAAAAAAAAGTAACAGGAAAACCAAAAGCCAGTCAAAGGAATATTCCCCGGGCACATAAAGTTACTCAAAATGAGCTCTCGACAAGAGGGATGCGGACACGAGCGAAAGGAGTTACCTCGAATTACAGGGCTATTTCCACATATGAGCTAGCCAAGGAAGCAGCCTTCGTCTCAGAGGGTTCTGTTGGGCGCACAACACTTCTGTCCTCCAAGGGGCGGCAGCTTCCATAGGCTAGCAGAGAACGCTCAGAACTTGTCAAGCAACGGCAGGCTAGCTACTCACAGCGGTCAGTCTGGGGCCCTGGGGCTGCCCACGCTGCGGGCCTGGCCGGCCTGTGGTCGTCAAGTCAGCATCGGGGGCCTGCCCGTCCATGTCAGTCCCGCTGTGCTGCCCAGCCCTCCGAGCCCTCTGGCTGCACCGCCAGGAGCCCTCAGGGCTGCCCTGCAGTCTGTGCTGCCCACGCCCGTCACCCACCTCCTCACCTAGCCCAGACTGGTGGCTGTCGACTGTCAGTCTACTTGCTCCTCTTGGCTAGCTCTCTGCGGCCTGTGCTTACTCTGCCTGACTGCTGGGCCGGCTGCCGCAGGCCACAGCACGGTGTATTGTGCAATGAAAGGGAGATTATCAGAGCAAGGTTCGTTTCAGACGGTCTTTTAATCGGCTTCGTAAAGCCAAAGAGAACTGCATACAAGAATTCCTTAACCACTTCAAATACAACATCGATGGGATATGCATACGTCTTCCAGTAAAAAAGGACAATATAAATAAACACTTTCAAGAACCTCTCGGGACATCTGAGAGTCTACTGTAGCGTTTACAGCAAGTGAGGCACGTCTGTGCAGGTGGGACAGATGGGCAGCGCCTGGGGCAGACCTGGGGCCGCCGTGCCCCTGGAGCTGTGTCCTGCCCTGCTACACTCACAACGTTGCAGAGTCTGAAAAAAAGCCCCAGTTTGCTCAGCTTCTGATAAAGAGTGGATCAGAGTCCTTTCGATCTCATAGGGAAGTGCATAGAGGCGCCCAACTTCACGGGCCACGTGCCAAGAACAACTGCACAACCCCTCACAAAACATGAAACCCACAACCCTCAACCATTTGGAAAAACAAAACTCATGGCTCATGAGAAAAAGGAAACATTAAAATCTGAAGTGCTTTCCAGATGCTTTCAAAACCTTTAAAAACGGACAGGGCTGCCTCAAAAAGAAAACTCTAGAACTGGGCCCTCAGGGTCAGAAGCTGTCAGGCTGTGCTTGACAAGATCACAACTGAAAGGACTACGAAAGTGGAAATACAAGGTGTGTTCACTACACATTAACGATTCAGCGAAGCTCCCAAAATCTTTAAATATACGGCCATTGGAAGGACGATCTTGAGCAGGAAGGATTTTTACTCGTTGTGTGTAGCTGAGGACAAGAAGCAGGCACAGTGTCAAGGCACCGAAGCAGCAACAGTGGAGCATTCCTCACCCCTGGCTGGCCCTGGAGGGCGCGGCCTGTGGCCTGAGAGCACCAACCCCCCCGAGCTGAGGGCGCGGGCCGGGCCGCACATGCACGTGGGGGAGACCTCTCGGCCTCACTTGCCCTTGCTTTTAGGTCAGTTTGCTTTTGCTTTTCTGCTTTGTGGCAGGACAGACTGTTCATTACGGGCAAGCAGAGTGACGAGGTCTGAGCGTGGCGCCCAAGGCGCTGCCAAAGGCCACCAAGGCGCACCGGGCTCCCACTGCGGGCCACAGCAGCGTGGCGCCCTCAGAGCATGACTTACCATAGCTGTCGTAGCTGTCTCTGTAGGACCCACCCGAGCTCCGGTCACCATAGCCGCCGCCCTGACTCCGGCTGCAGAAAGGCAGGCGTGATCTGAAGCCAGACTGACACCTGCCAGGGTGGCTGGCCACTATAAGGGACCCTGAGTTCCTAGCAGCACACAAGTGCCTTTTGGGACCTCCATGCCTGCAGGTGTCAGTCGTAGGACCCCTCGTTCCCCGATGGTGCCACTTCATCTCACCTGTAACTTCTCTGCTAGGAAATGCTGTCCCCACACCCAGACACCATGGACTTGCTCCTCACCTGCCGTAGTAGTCTCTGGACCCTCCATAGCCCCCACTCCGGGACTCAAACCGGCTACCCCCATAGCCTCGGTCCCCTCCTCCTATGGATAAAAGGGTGGAGAAAAGGGGATGGGTTTTCACTTTCACCAGCAGAACCTGCCATGCCTCCTAGGACCCCATGTGCCACTCACCTCTGGAGAACCCACGGCCCCGGCCTCGGCCCCCACGGAAGAAGCCCCGGCCCCCAGCAGAGCCACCTCGGTACCCTCGGGAGCGATTGTCAGATGACTTGCCCGCCTGGTCCAC